AGCTTTCAGTTGTGCTGTTAATTCTCTAGTGTTACTGTTCTCCAGTTTCTTCATGTGGGCACTTAGTGCTATGAACTTTCCTCTTAGCACAACTTTCAAAGGTTCCCATAAGTTTGGGCATGTTGTGTCTTCATTCTCATTGAATTCTAAGAAATCTTTGTTTTCTTTTTTATTTCTTCTTTGACCAAGGAATGGTGCAATTGTGCATTGTTCAATTTCCATGAGTTTGTAGGGTTTCTGCAATTTATGTTGTTGAATTCTAACTTTAAAGCATGGTGGTCTCATAAGATACATAGAGTTATTCCAATTTTTTGTACCTGTTGATGTTTGCTATGTTGCCAAGTATGTGGTCGATTTTAGAGAATGTTCCCTGTTCTGTTGAGAATAAGGTATATTCTTTTGTGTTTGGATGGAATGTTCTATAGATGTCTGTTACACCCAATTTGGTTATAACTTCTATTAGATCATTTGCTTCTTTGTTAAGTTTCTGTCTGGTAGTCCTGTCTAGTGGTGGGAGTGTGGTGTTGATGTCTCCCACTATAAGTGTGTGAGGTTTTCTATGTGATTTGAGTTTTAGTAATGTTTCTTTTGCGAACGTGGATACCTTTGTATTTAGGGTGTAGATGTTCAGAATTGAGACTTCAGCTTGGTGGATTTCTCTTGTGATGAGTATGAAATGACCCCCTTCATCTTTTTTGATTAATTTTATCTTAAAGTCTAATTTGTTAGATATTAAGATTGCTACCCCTGCTTATATCTTGGGTCCATTTGATTGGAAAACCTTTTCCCAGCCCTCATCTCTAAGCTAATTTCTGACTTTGAAGTTGAGGTGTGTTCCTTGTATGCAGCAGAAGGATGATTCTGTCTTTGAATCATTTCTGTTAGCCTGTGTCTTTTTATGGACGAGTTAAGACCATTAATATTGAGGGATATTAATGACCATTGATTGCTTATTCTTGTTTGTTTTGGAATGGTTGTGGTTGGTGGGAGTATATGTGGATTTCCACCCCTTTTTTCTTTTGGCTGTTGGTAAAGTGGGATTATCTATTGCTTATGTTTTTATGGCAGTAGTTAACTTCCCTGGGATAGAGTTTTCCTTCCATTACTTTCTGTAGATCAGCATTAGTGGATATGTATTGTTTAAATCTGGTTTTGTCATGGAATATCTTGTTTTCTCTATCTATAGTGATTGAAATCTTTACTAGGTATAGTAGTCTGGTCTGGCATCTATGGTCTCTTATTGTTGGTAGAATATCTATTTATGACCTTCTGGCTTTCAGAGTTTCCATGAAGAAGTCAGGTGTAATTCTAATAGGTTTGCCTTTACATGTTGCTTGACCTTTTTCCTTAGCTGCTCGTAATATTCTTTTTTATTCTGTATGTTTGGGGTCTTTATTATTAATTGGCAAGGGAACTTTTTTGCGGTCCACTCTGTAAGCTTCTTGTACCTTCATTGGCATGTCTTTATTTATGCTGGGAATGTTTTCTTCCATGGTTTTGTTGAATATGTTTTCTGCCCCTTTTACTTGGTTTTCTTCACCTTCTTTTTACCTATTATTTTTTCGTTTGGCCTTTTCATGATGTCCCATATTTCCTGGATATTTTGTGTTAGGGATTTGTTGGACTTAAGATTATCTTTGGTCAATAAATCTATTTCTCCTAGTGTATCTTCAATACCTGAGATTCTCTCTTCCATATCTTGCATTCTGTTGGTTATGCTTGCATCTGTAGTATCTGACAGTTTGCCCAGCTTTTCTATTTCCAGCATTTCTTCTGACTGTGTTTTATATTGTCTCTATTTTAGCTTTCAACCCTTGCACTGTTTGAATTGTTTATTGCAATTTTTGCTTTGTATTTTCCTCCATTTCTTCCAGTTTTTGCTTTGTATTTTCCTCCATTTCTTGCATTTTTTGGTTTGTTTTTCTTTTCTATCTCTTTAAGGGATTTTTCTCGTATCCTCTTTGAGGGCTTCTATCATTTTCATGAAGTTGTGTTTAAGGTCATTTTCTTTTGTTTCATTTGCTTTGAAGTATTTGAATCTTTGCAAGAAAGTCCAATACTCTGGTAGTACTCCTCTTCATGTTCCTAGACCTGGTCCCATGGGTGAAGAAGGTGACTAGGATGCTGGGGTGTGTTGCCTCCTGACAGGATGGGAGACCCAGTGGCAGTTCCCAGGCACAGGCTACCCTTTTCGTAAATGGAGAAAAGCTTAAAGAAATCTCGCAAAGTGAAGAATAAGAGAAGGATGTCCAATATTCTCAGTCATTTTCAATACTGTAACTGAAATGCTAGCTGGAGCAATAAGGCAAGAGAAGGTAATTAAAGGGATACAAATAGGGAATAAAGAAGTCAAACAATCCCCTTTTACCAGTGACATAATATTTATACATTAGAGATGCCAAAACAATTTAACAGAACACTTCTTGAAATGATAAATTCAGCAATGTGGCAGGATACAAAATCAACTTGTACAAATCAATAGTTATTCTATACACCAACAAACACCATCAGAAAAGAAGCACATGAACACACTCTCATTGATAGCCTCAAAGAAAAAGAAAAAAATCTTAGGAATAAACTGAACCATGGTGTGGCACCCATGCCACAAACAAGTCCAAGGTATCAGGAAAAGAAAGACAAGATGTCCAGCTGTTTGTACTCAGAGAATGCATGTGCTGCCTTTATTGCCAGGAGAGAGAGAGAGAGAGAGAGAGAGAGAGAGAGAGAGAGAGAGAGAGAGAGTGTATGTGTGTGTTTTGCAAGTGCTAAGAGGTCTCTCTCTTGTAGGAGGGAGCAGTCTTATACAAAGGCTTACAGCACAGTGGAAAAACCCCAGGAGGAAGAGATCGTGTTTTCCTCGTGCTAGATGTTGATGTTAGTGGGGCAATGCCAGGGCAGTAAGCCAAGACTAGAAAACAGGATGCACCTGTGGCTATCAGCTGACAAACAACTCAGAGACCCTATGGGGGCTAGGCCCCAACATCTCCCCCTTTTTAAAAAAATTTTGTTTGAACTGTTTGCTACTCTATAGAATCTTCCATACAGATTTCTTTGGCTCTCAGGCCATGTTGTAGGCTTCTGCTATTTTTCCACTGACTGGCTCTGAGGACTCAAATCATCAACCTTTCCTGTTCAGACATTGACTGGCTGGATGATCTTTTTAGCTATATCCAAAGCAATTTATGTAACTTCTTAACTGAAGCAAGTTAAATATCCTTTTAATAATATTCAAGACAATTTAAGCAGTTAACACTCACGCATTCACAATCACATTTCATACATACCCGTGTGGCCACACCATACATTCAGAACATATATCTTTCAGTCATCCTTTATCCCTAGGTCATGATTAGTTTGTTAAAATGAAACTTCCTTAATTGAAATCTCTATGACAGAACAACTCCAGCCAATCCTTGAATTAAAACAAAAGGTTGAAAAGTCCTGTATGCTCCTCATCATCCTTCCATTTGAGAAGTTCTGAGCTACACTCAGGGGCTACAGCCATACCCACTCCTTGTAAAAAGTTTTAAAAGATGACTCACAAAATTGACCTTAAATTTGTATCAATAACCAATCCTGTATAAATGCAAACAAACATTTATAAACAATATTTGGGGATGTGGGTGCCATTCTTTCCAGACTACTTCTTGCTCTTAAGAGGCGCTGAAATACCAGGGGGGGTCATGACAATAAATAAATAAATAAAAGCAAAAAAAAAAACCAAACCCGGAAACCTGTTGAAGTCCTTGTTTTTGTGGTCTGCAAGGCTGCATCATCTCAGCTGTTTTAGATGTTAGAACACCTGGGCCAGCGCTTCAAGTGGTCTTGCTTCATCAAACCATACTAGTCTGGAAGGAACCCACAGCTTTTTATTTTCTGTGGAAACAAAAGCAGAAATTCTTTTCCCAAGTAACCTGTCCTTATATTTAAATTTAGAAGTCAAAGCATTTTCAAAATATTTAAGTTGGATTAATTTAGCAGAATCGATATTCAAATGTCTTTTAGAAGTTTTTGTCCTTTCTTAGCAACTAAACAATTTAAAGACAACACAACAGCACACAGTATCCAGACTCTCCATGTATTTTCTATTCCATACACTTTTACCTTTTCCTTTTCTTTCACTTAATACCAGTACCTCATTTACTAACTGTTACCAATTTTCAATTCACCCATTTTCAATCCATCCTTCAACCAAGGACAATCTCTCAGGCAAAAGCCTTAAGATTTACTCAATCCACCCTCCAACTGAGGGCGGTCTCTTTCACGACCTTGGTGTCGGTGAAGGCCTGGAGATTTAACCTGGTACCCCTAACTTGGTACCCCTTTCCAATACACCCTCATAGCCTTACTTATTGCCAGTCTTTTGAGGGTGAACTTGTAGTTCCCCTTTACTTTCCTGACCTCAGTGGATTAGGCAAAAGGCTGGAGATTAATTCAATGCACCCTTCAACTGAGAGCGATCTCTCAGTTTTCCCCTTACTTTTCCAACCTCAGTGGATCGGGCAAAGGCTGGAGATTAATTCAATACACCTTCTCCTTAGAAGGTGATCTCTCAAGCAAAAGCCTGGAGATTTGGCCATTCAATTTTACTGTTAGAAGTGGAGGTACCTGTTTTCAAATCTTTTCTTTCTCAAGTCTCTCCTCTCCTGAGTCTTCTTTCTGGCCAATCTTTCTCAGTGTTTCCAAGTCTCTCTGGATCTTGGTGTGACCTCCAATTGTGGTGCCCGTGCCACAAGCAAGTCCAAGGTATCAGGAAAAGAAAGACAAGATGTCCAGCTGTTTGTACTCAGAGAATGTATGTCCTGCCTTTATTGCCAGGAGAGAGAGAGAGAGTGTGTGTGTGTTTTTATTGCAAGTGCTAAGAGGTCTCTCTCTTGTAGGAGGGAGCAGTCTTATACAAAGGCTGTAGCACAGTGGAAAAACCCTAGGTGGAAGAGAGCATGTTTTCCTCCTGCTAGATGTTGATGTCAGTGGGGGCAATGTGGGCAGTAACCAGGACTAGAAAACAGGATGCACCTGTGGCTATCAGCTGACAAACAACTCAGAGACCCTGTGGGGGCTAGGCCCCAACACCAAGGAATTGAAGGATCTCTACAATAACAATACTAAACCTCTGGAAAAAAATACAGAGAAAGACACTATGAAATGGAAAGACATTTCAGGCTCATAGATTAATATAATTAATATTTTAAAGATGACCATTCTACCAAAAGCTATTTACATATTCAATGTAATATCATACAACATCTGCATATTATTCTTTACAGAAATAGGAAACATTGTAAAAAATTCACATGAAACAACAAAGGACCCCGATATACAAAACAATCCTGAACAAAAAGAGCAATGTTTGGGGGATTACCATTCTACATTTTAAAATACATTGTAGAACCATAGACAAAAGCAATATTGACTGACTCCCAAACAAACACATAGAGCAAAATCAAAGACCCAAACATGAGTAAACATAACTTCAGTCAATTTTTATTTGACAAAAATGCAAAAGAAGAGATAAGCTGGAGAAAATAAACCAGCTTCAACAAAAGGTGCTTGGAAAACTAGTTGCCCACATGCAGAAGAATTAAATTAGTCCTGTATTTATCACCTTGCACAAAAACTAACCCATGAATTAAAGACCTAACCATGGAACTTGAAACAATGTAACTCTTAAAAGAAAACAAACATGGTACATACATGATATAAGTGTAGAAAAGGACTTTATGAATAGAATTCCATTTGCCTAAGAATATAGGCCTACAATTGACATGGGACTTCATAAAATTAAGAATCTTGTACACAGCCTAAGAAACAGCTCTCCTGATGAAAAGGAAACTCAGAAAATAGGAGAATTGTTGCTATCTATGCATCTGACAGAAGATTAAAATCCGGAATAAATAGAACTAAAGAAATCGTGAAGAATACAAAAACAAATGTCTTATTCAAAAATTGGCCTAGAAAGTGAGCAGAGTTCTCAAAAGAAGATTAAAAAAGAACATCTCAAAAAATTCATCACCCCTAGCAATTAAGGACATGCAAATTGAAACACCTGAAAGTTTTCATCTTACTGCAGTTAGAATGGCAAGGGCAAAGAAAACAACAACAAATGCTGGGGAGGATGTGAGGAAATGGAACCTTAGGTCACTGTAGGTGGGGCTGGAAACTGAATCAGTCACTGTGGAAATCAGTGTGGAGAATTCTCAAACAGATAAAAGTATCTCTACCGTATGACCCATCTCTACAACTTCCTGGCATAAACACAAACGACTTGACATCCTACTCCACAGATATGTACTCAGTCAAATTCACAGCTGCCGCATTCACAATAGTTAGGAAATGGAAACAACCTAAATGTCCATCAACTGATCCAACATACGGACAATGAGAATGTAGTACATATACACACAATGGCATACTATACAGTAATTTAAATCAGGAAATTTGCAGATGGATGGATGTGACTAGAAAATATATTAAGTGAGGTGACTCAGACGCAGAAAGATAAATGTCACATATTCTCTCTCATTTGATTTTTCTAGCTTCAAATCTTTAAGTATAAGTGTATAACCTGAGGCAACTCTAAAAACACAGAAAGTAAAATGGGACCTGGGGGCTCTAGAGAGGAGAATAGCAAGATACAGGGGATCTTAAGGGGAAAATCAGAAAGACCTGGAGTGTGAGCTTTAATTGCCAAGGCAGAAGGAAGGCAATACTGAGGGAGCAAGAAGGATAAGTAAACACTAAGGATGCTCAAAAAAACATAGGAAACATTATTTGATATTTACTGAACTTAAAATTTCATGTAATACACTCACATAAAGTTACACCCCTTGGGGATAATAATATGCCTCCAAAGAGCCTTGGTCTAACAAAACCTCAGTACCAAGTGTAAGAATCCTCCTGTCAAGTTATTGGACAGGAGTTTTGTTTTCTAAAAACAGCATAGGCTATTGCTGTTGTCCTTCATTATAAGTAAGTCCCTACTGCAAAAGACCACCCCAACTCTACCCCCTACTCCACCCGACTTCAGGGAGACATATGATGGTTCTAACCTCAAATCCTCCTCCCTGAGCTTTAGCTTTCATAGAACTAGAAGGTGATTTACTACACCCATGAAATCTCAACAACATGGCTCTACCTATACAAGACCTGAAAATTTCCAACACTAAGGACATCCCAGCAGGTATGTGGGGAACTCTCACTAGTCTGTACCTCTAGATCAAGAGCTATAAACAATTAACAACCGCTGAGAAAAAATGAGGATTAGTCTTCTTCTCCAGGAAAGCACCCTCTGATTGTTATCCAATATCAAATGGTCAGCTCTAGAAACATATACATACACAGCACACCAAATGGAGTCAGCAGGTTGTATTTATATGTTTATCCATGTGTGGCATGCAACAACAATGGCTAAAGAAAAGGCTGTGAATTTGAGAAGGAGCAGGGGAAAGAGCAGACATGGGAGAGGCAGGAGGGTGAAGTGGGAGGGGAAGATTAGGTAAATATACTTTAAGGTTTTAGATAAAGGGTCATTTTAAGACATAAAATAATAGTTCGATTATTTTTCAAAGAACAAATTAGGAAAATCTTTTCCTGAGATTTTTTTAAAAATTTTTTTGTTTCATTTTTCATTTTATAGACACTTTGTAATTTACTATCTTAAAAGAATGGAATGTGGGCTGGGGGTTTGCTTAATAGTAAATCATTAGTCTAGCTTGGTCAGAGCCCTGGTTTCAGTTTCAGCCACCCTTTCCACACCCACACACAGACAAAAGGGTCTGTAACAATAATGGTAAAAGAAAAAGTGACTGATTTGAGAAAGAGCAGGGGAGAGGGCCTATATTGGCAGGATAGAGCAGAGAACAGGGGTGGGGAACATTATATAATTATATTTTAATAAATGAAAAATGACTTAAAAATCTCCAAGAGACACTAAGTTAGTAAGTGTGATAGATATGTTAAAAATAGAACTGCATTATTCCTTCCAAATTATCACCCTGATTTAGAATTTTTATGCTTATATTTTCTCTCTTACATGCATTGAGAATAATACCGTCTCCTGTTCATCATGGTGTTCTCAGTACCTGACAAATGGTAAGCACTCAGCTTATGTTGGGAGGAAAAATGAATAAAAGAATGAAGAGGAGAGAAGAGGAGGGGAGGGAATGTAATGGGAGGCTATAGTAGACAGAAGAGTGTTAGAAAGAAAAGATGGAAAGAGAAAGAAGAAAAGACAAGGCAAGAGAAGGGGGAAGACAAACATTTCTCAAGTGAGCAGTGCAAAAGTATTTTGCAGAGCTCTATGAATCCTGCATGTTACCAGGCATGCTCTAAGAACACACAAACTAAATATAAAAGCATGTTTCTGCTTCTGAATTGACTGCTGTAATAGCTGATAACTATGAGTTTGCAACAATTTTAATAGAAATTGGCATTTCTCAAAAAATAAAGAAAACTGTGCACAATATAGAAATCTTTACTTTTGTTTACCCAACTATCATTGAGATATTTTGCTATGTTTTATTTCTTTCATTCACAACAAAATCACATTGAGCAGATAGTGAAACAATAGGCAAGAGTAAACTAACCTTGGAGTCTAACAGTCCTTACTTCCAATTCAGATACAACCATTTAATAGTTGCATTTCCCTGTTTTAAAAGTGGCTAACGAGGCCACCTTCCTGGAACTGTTGTAAGAAATGAACTATGGGTTTATTTGTTAAATGTCTAGCATGGAGACAAATGTTCAATGAATTGCCAGTTTTCTTCACTTTGTTACTTAGCAAACATACGCGAAAGAGCTGCATGATGTATATCAGATTTATCAATAGACAACCTAAAGGAAATATTCCCACTGCCTGGAGGATAACAAATAAAATAAACATACCAACTATCAGGAATATAAGGGCAAAATTTCTGGTTACTGTATTTGGGCTACAATTTTTTGGCGGGGGGGGGGGGAGAGTTTGAGACAGGGTTTCTCTGTGTAACTGCTCTGGGTGTCCTGGAACTCTCTTTGTAGATAAGGATGTCTTCAAACTCACAGGGATCTGTCTGTCTCTGCCCCTTAAACGCTGTGATTAAAGGCATGTGCTACCACACCCAGGTTGGACTACAAATTTATTAAGCATCTTGATTCCAGTGAAACAGAACATGCTCTCAGGTAAACAGTTAAAAGGAGGACTTATTGCTTACTGATATATAGCAAGGTACTAAAGAAGTCTAAGATGCATTTTGGGACAGTCTTTCAAAGTTCAAGTGCTCCTGTGGTGAATGGTATCTTGAATGTATGTGTACCGTTTGTACCATAGGCCAATAACTCAAAAGGAAAAACACCTTAAGGTTTATACCTTGAGGTTAATATAATTCATCAAGCAAAACAGATGCCCTGTTTCCAAGGTAAAAGGACAAAGTCTCTTCTGTCTTGGACAGCTACCTGCAATTCTCAAGCAGTTACCTCCCCTCGAAGAAGCAGGAAGAGAGCCCAAGCTGTTTGGGACAGCCTTTCCTTATCTGCGGATATTGATCCTACTATATTGTACAGCTTATGTTTCAGAACCGTAGTCAAGAAGAAGAGGAAGAGACTGGGTCAGCAAAAGCTATCTGAAAATTATTTAGCTCTTACTACGCATTGCTTTCTGAACCGGTGATACGCAGAAGCACAAAATTAACAGGGTCACTGAACTTAAAGAGTCAGCAATAGAATGTGGAAGACAGATAAATCACACCCAGATGTCTACCTAGTATATAGGTCTGATAGGTGCAACGGGGAACAATGAGACACGAGGAGAAAGTATAAGAGAACTACTATATTTTTTTTGTTTAATAAGTTAATAAGTGGATACTTTTCCATAGCAGTTGGCTAGGCAGAATAAGAAAGTGAAAGCAAAATAAGACTGTAACTCTTCAATCCTAAGCACCTTTTATTTTTTTGCTTCTAATTGAATTTGAAAATACATAGGAAAGTCAGTGTGTGTGTGTGTGTGTGTGTGTGTGTGTGTGTGTGTGTGTGTACAGAAAAATGATAGAATGATCGTCCAATGTTATGTGAAAATACTAGTATCACTTCTGAACTCTGAACACACAAGAATGTATCTCTAAAGTCAAACTCAAAGGCCATGAGAATTTGCTTACCTAAGTAGTTACAGTATCATAAAATTCACTGAACAGATTTCAGATGACTAAGAATGTATATATAAGCAAATATATATTTAAAAAAAGATTGAATGCCGAAGTATTTTCAACTCTTTTTATTAGCAAATAATGTTTTCTTTATAATGCATCATTGTTATGAAAGTTAAAGTAGTAAAACTGTCCTCGCACTATCCATTGATTTCATTCTTAAATTATTCCTTTAAGGATGTCACTAAATTTGAGATTCATTGTTAACCAGATATTTCAATATCTATTTTTTAAAATGTGTACTACTTATTGAAATAGTTAGTGGACTTGAGATGTAAAGAATTGTTTTTCCAGTGATTTCTCTAGCCCTAACAACTCTTAACACAGGATTAGGCACTTAGTAACCTGGCAAACACAGAAACCAGCTTCCAGAGGAGGAAATACCAACAGTGACTTTTATTCTTTGATCACGAGTTCACCTTCTTGTTTTGGTCAGGCCAATATATGCTATTGTAAGAACCTTATCATTCACTGCAATTAAAATGACTCAATAATCAAAGGTCAACATTATTTTGATGCATTAGATAACTGACTCAGGGGATATTTTAAATTATCCACTCAAGTTGCTCAAAATTTTCTATTGCATAATGTTAATGAGTCATTTTGAAAAAAATGATAGATTTCTAGGCAATATATTGTTATTTAGTATGCAATTTAAGAGTTAAAAGCCTTGAATAAGATTTCTAGATCTAACCGTTTTCATATAACGTGAATTATTATTGAATACCCTCCTCTCCCTTTCAGTTTTGTTTTCTTCTGTCTGTAAATTTGGGGAAAGTATTTGTCTCACTGCAAAGATATTTTTCACAATCAAATAAGATAATACATCTATTTCAAAGAACTACACAAGCATAGGTTTTATTACTTGTAATATGACATCTGAGAACAAACAACTGTTAAGTTTAAGATATTTTCTAATCCAAGCTGTGTGAGCTAGTTGTAGGTTTCTCCAAATGTTATTCTATTTCTAAAGTGTAACACATTGTACTTTTAAAGTTTTATGACCTCAGTTTCTTCTATATACTGCTGCCAAATAACAAAAAACTTACAAAAATCTATTTTAGTGAAGAAAATTATTTTATACTTTGCCTTGTATATTACATGGTACTTTATACTACATGGTGCTTATATAGCTATGTTACATGAATAAATGATTTTAATTCTTTCTGTTTTCTATAATTATGAAGTTCTACAGCCATGCTACCCTGAATGTGTTCTAGCTCATTGATAGTTATAATGCTGTATGAAAGTTTTCATACATGGAAAGAGTAATTACTTTCTTTTCATTGCTCAAAAAACAGCTAAAGAAATACATTTTTTAGGTTCTGTTAGAATTAATCAAAATATTTTTGCACAGGAGCTAGAATATTGCATCTCTATTAAGAATTAAAATTTAGTAATACATGTATATAAATAAATGAGTATTTCATTATAATAGTAATAAAATAATATTCTACAAACAGATAATATACACATACTTTTAGATTTTTGTCAATAGAAAAACTCAAGATGGTAGCATTTAAAACACATTAAAACAAAAAAGTGAGATATATCAGACTCATAAGAGAAAATATAAGTGGATAATATAGAAATTTGGACATTAATCCTAAGGAAGTAAAAAATATTGATTCAGTTAAACTTTCACTAAAAAATTTATCAATTGCCTATTGTATGCCATGCAGGTGTTATGTCAGTCTCTTTGGAGATACACAAATAGATAAATCTCTGTTCTCAATGATTTCAGGAAAGCCCTGAGCTGAATTTAATGTGTGAAACAGCAATTATTATTTCTTTTATTTATTTATTTTTATTTTTCGGTTTAAATTTAGATAAGAAACAAGGTTGCTTCACAAGTCAGTTCCAGGTCCCTCTCCCTTTCCCTCCCCTCCTCCGGTGTCCTCCCCCCAACCCCCTCCCATTATCCCCTCATTTCCCCAGGGAGGGTGAGGCCCTCCATGGTGGTGTCCATAGTCTGTCATTTCACACAGGGCAGGGCCTAGACCCTCCCCCAAGAGTTCAGGGTGAGAGTGCACCTCACATTGTTGGATAGGAGTCCAAAGTCCGTGTGTATACTCGGGATGAGTACTGATCTACTGCTCAAGGCTCAATAGGTTACCTAGGCCTCCTCTCTGACAGAGAATAGGATATATTATATGTAATAAAAGTTATTTTTGAAAGCAAAGAGAATTTCGGTGGTTGGTTGAGTGGATCCCTTGCCCAGAATGTTATGGAAGGAATAACAATATATAGAGTCGAAAATGTAGGCAGGAACTAGAGTTTGAAAAGACTTGGTAAGCATTGCAAGAAGTGTGAGTTGAAGTGACTGAGAACCATGAAAAGAATTTAATCAAAATAATTCCATGGTAACTTATGTGTTTTAGATAGGTAAATGCAAAGGAGGACCTGTATAATTTCTAAACAGCCTGGCACAGTGCAAATGTATGTAGTCCCAGCTCTTTGGGTGGCTGAGGCAGGAGGATTAATTGAGCCCAAGAATTCAAGGCCCTTCTGGGAATCATAGCAAGACTCTTAGGACAAGGAAGACTTGTGTTTTGAAATAAAGTAAAGGCTAAGAAGAAGAAAAAGGACACATTCCAGAATGATTCATGAAGGATACGTAAGTGAAGAGACATGGTGACTGTAGGTGATGACAATGCAGGTAGTAAGGCACAAGGAAACATTTGATGTAAAATGTCACATAGGAGGAGCAGATATGGATGTGACATAATGAATTAAAATTTGCACATCAAATTTGAGATGGTTTTGAAATTTTCAGGAATGTACATCTTGGCTGAAGACAGACAAGACACGCCTTCAGAGAGACAGTAGATGAAGACAGTCACAATGAGGGAACTCAACAGGGAGTGCTGGAAGCTGCGTCAGACTTGTCATTTAATTCTTCAATAAGTTTTATTGCACACAAAAAGCTCATAGTTAAAGAAAGCATTATATCCTTTGGATATTTTGCCTATCATTTGCATCAATATATTTTAGTTTTAAATACACAGACTTCTGATCATAAACTATCTGTGATATTTCTATAATCCTTGTTTTAACTAACTGAATATGCAAAGTGAAGGTAATTATTTTTTTCAGCTTCCTCAAAAATTTCTCCTATTTTATTTGATCATATTTTAATAATATCTTTATTTTAGTTACTAAAATCTAATATGATTCCAGAAGTTTTAAGTAGTCAGGAAAACATTATTACAAACCATTTAACAAAAAAGGTGAAGAGGAATCATAATTCTTCATAAAAAATGTATTTTGGCAGAACACAGAATACCCAAGTTCCTATTCTTAAAGAATAATCTAACTGTGACTTCCTGGGTACAATATTTAACACCCTTGGGTGATAGAGGCAGGATTCAAACTGTGTTTCCCCTCAGGGTATCACAATATACCAATCACACTATAAGGAATCTTAAACCATATGTTGGCAGACAGAGTTTGGTAACTCAGAAATACCATTTACGAAGAATATAATTGAGAAGACTAGGTTGCCTTCCTGCAGACCTTCTTTGCTCGCAGTGTTACCCCAGCAAACCCAATCTCTCAGGCTCATCCCAAGTACTGCAACAGAACACCAACTGCAGCCTCCCTTCCCCCTCTCTTTGCCTCCTGTGGATCCCACAGACCACTTTATCCTGACCTCCAAAAATCAGCACCTAGACCTATAATCAGCCCCCAAACCCAGATGTTTAGATGCCAGGATAAAAATGCAACCAATAAAAACCAGGACAAAATGTTTTCACCAGAGCTCAGCTATCATAATACATCATTCCGTGAATGTTCTAGCACAGCTAAAATAGAAGAAAAGGATCTTAAAGCCACATGTATGAAGATCAGAGGTTGATAAAAGAGAAACTAATAAACCACTTAAAGAAGTCCAGGAAAACACAATGGGAGTAAATGAATGAATCTTTCAAAGAAGGCCAAGAAACAAACAGTTGAAGTGTAGGAGGAAGTCTGATTGTGTGT